TTATCAGGCCCGGAATGATTGCAGAGGAAATAAAGGAGTAGAAAAAACAAAGCGGACGTGAACCGGTTCAGGACTGGCGTTTCCTCTTGTGGGTGAAAGGTTGCCACACAAAGGAGGGGGGCTAGTCCCTGGGGAGAAGAGGATGGGTGACGTGGAGAACGGAGAACAGGAGGAAGAAGCTCAGGGCTGAGAACTCAAACAAACAAAGGTGCTGCTCTTAAGTCTTTAAGACCTCTCTGCTGTCCCAGAGCTAAGCTCTTTGCACAATCTAAGCAAAGGTCTAGTATTCATGCTTACCAAACTGGATCATGTTCACACAACTAAAAAGGACTGAGACCCTCTTTTTTTGGAAAAGGTGACCTTCAACAGTGGAACCTCTGCAACTTGGATGAGATGGGGAGGGAGGAAGGAAAAAGGAAGGGAAGGAAGGAGAAGGGAGGAAGAAGGAAGGAAGGAAGGAAGGAAGGAAGGAAGGAAGGAAGGAAGGAAGGAAGGAAGGAAGGAAGGAAGGGAGGGAAAAGAAGGAAGGGATGAAAAATGGATCCTAAACAGAAGGCTCTGCAACTTGGCTGAGATGTGGAGGAAGGAAGGAATGAAGGAGGGAAGGAATGAAAGAAAAAGAAGGGAGGGGTGAAAAGTGGACCCTTAACAGAAGGGTCTGCAACTTGGCTGAGATGTGGATGGAGGAAGGAAGGATTGAAGGAAGGAAGGGACAAGGAAGGGAGGATAGAAGGAAAGAGAAAAGAAGGAAGCAAGATGGAAGGAAAGGAAAAGAAAGGGAAGGAAAGGAAGAAAGAGGGAAGGAAAGAGTAAAGAAAGGAAGCAAGCAAGGAAGGTTAAATGGCAAAGAGTTAGGGCCAAGTTGCATGAAGGACAAAGGAATTATAGCAAAGGGAGTTGCACAATGGACAAGATACTTACCAAGCCTGCAGCAGATTAAAAAGAAAGGATGTATCAAGAGAAGACAATGAAATAATTGTCAGGAGAGATACAGAAACATAGGGGTAAGAAGTCCCAAATCAGTGGCCAGCCTCCAAAGCAAAAAAGAGCCAGACCTTTATGCCCATTTTACAGATAAGATACAATGAGCCCCACAACAGCAAGGGAGGGGAAGTAACCCAAATCTCCTCCATTCAAACCTTTGCAAGAATTTTTAAACTGCATGTGCTCCACCTTGCACTGTTCCTTCATGGCATTTTCATGCTGACAATTCCATATTTTACTAAGAAGCTATGGTCTGCTCAGGTTACTAGAATACATTTGGCATTACATCTCTTTCCCTTTCCAGGTGAGCTTGGAACAGTTATTTGGATGGGCTAGAACAGTGGTTCTCCGCCTTCCTAATGCCATGACTCCTTAATACAGTTCCTCATGTCGTGCGGACCCCCAACCATAACATTATTTTCATTTCTACTTCATAATTGTAATTTTGCTACTGTTATGAATCACAATGTAAATATTTGATATGCAGGATGTATTTTCATTCACTAGACCAAATTTGGCACAAATACCCGATACACCCAAATTTGAATACTGGTCAGGTTGGGGTGGGATTTTGTCATTTGGGAGTTGTAGTTGCTGGGATGTATAGTTCACCTACAATCAAAGAGCATTCTGAACCCCACCAACGACAGAATTGGGCCAAACTTCCCACACAGAACCCCCATGACCAACAGAAAATACTGTGTTTTCTGATGGTCTTTGGTGACTTCCCTCAAAACCCCCAGGTTGAGAAACGCTGGGCTAGAACTCCCAGAGAGAGAAGGGGAAAGAAAGGACAGATCAAAGAACTGAGACAGGAAGACAGAGAAGTCCTCCATCCACCTACCATCAATATCATCATCATTGTGTCATCAATGTGCAGAGAACTTTAGAGTCAAAACAAGGAGTCCTGCCAAAGCCATACAATGTTAAATATATGCAGGTTGTCTCTACAAAATATATGTACCCAGTAGCAGTTATTAGTAGCTAAACTGCTTATTTGAAAGTTAATTAAATGCATTTATATTGAAGAATCAATGCTACCATAATGATTCAATTAGAGTTACACATTCCATTTTAAATCACAATTTTATGGACGGTGCTCAGCTCGTCCTCCCTGCCCAGCCGTGCATTGCTTACATAGCCAACGTGCCAGAGCTGCAAGGAAAGCTTTGGGAAAAGTTTCTCTTGTCATTTTGCAATGTCTCAACTAGTGGATTTGTTGATAAAAAAAAAACTCAGTGTGGGTGTAGTGCAGGCATAGGCAAACTTGGACCCTCCAGGTATTTTGGACTTCAACTCCCACCATTCCTAACAGCCCAAGGGCCCATGCCACTTGTAGTGGATTGAGTGTTGCCCTATGGCTCTGGAGTCCAGGGTTCAAATCCTTGCTTGGCTGTGGCACCCATTGCCACCCTCTTTCAGCCTCCAAGGAACAGAGCGCTTCTGAACAACTGTTGCCCAGAAAACCCTTGATGTCATGGCCTTAGCATCACCAGGAGTCAGAAATATGTGGAAGGCACATAATAAGGTTGTTGGTGATGATGATATTGATATTTACACCCAGTTTTTTTGCCACAGGACAGTTGTAGGGAATCTTCCCCCCTCTGAATTATTCTTTATTTACAGATGAATGCATACAAAAGAAGGAAATACTACTACTACTACTACTACTACTACTGTAGAGTCTCGTTTATCCGGAACATTGGATAAGCAAAAATGTTGGATAATAAGGAGAGGCTAAGGAAAAAACCTATTATGCATCAAATTACATTATGATTTTACAAATTAAGCACCAAAATATAATCTTTTTCAAGAAATCAACAGAAAAAAGCAGTTCAGTACACGGCAACATTATGTAGTAATTACTGTATTTACGAATTTAGTACCAAAACATTGCAATGTACTGAAACAGGTGTGGATCCGGACGGGAGGCAGACTGCGTTGGATAATGCAAAATGTTGGATGAGCAAAGGTTGGATAAGCGAGACTCTACTGTAATAGGTGACACCAGAATTGATAAGAAGCAACTGGAAAAGCTTACACAAAAGGAGGATTTAAAGATTGAACTGCAAAGACACTGGCACAAGACAGTCCAGGTGGTCCCTGTGGTGATTGGCACACTGGGTGCAGTGCCTCAAGACCTTGGCCTGCACTTAAAAACAATCACAGCTGACAAAATTACCAACTGTCAGCTGCAAAAGGCCACCCTACTCAGATCTGCACACATTATTCGATGATGCATCACGCAGTCCTAGACACTTGGGAAGTGTCCGACGTGTGATCCAATACAACAGCCAGCACAGTGATCTTGTTTGCTGTGTACTAGACTTGTTGTGTATAATAATAATAATAATAATAATAATAATAATAATAATAATAATAATAGATGACAGCAAAATTGACGAGAAGCAACTGGAAAAGCTTACATGATATGAGGATTTAAAGCTCAAACTGCAAAGACTCTGGCACAAGTCAGTCAAAGTGGTCCTTGTGGTGATCGGCACACTGGGTGCAGTGTCTAAAGACCTTGGCCTGCACTTAAAAACTATCACCGCCAACAAAATTACCCTCTGTTAGCTGCAAAAGGCCACCCTACTTGGATCTGCACACATTATCTGCTGATATATCACAGTCCTAGACACTTGGGAAGTGTCTGAGTGTGATCGAATACAAGAGCTAGCAGAGTGATCTTGTTTGCTATGTACTAATATTATTGTGTATAATAATAATAATAGGTGACAGCATAAATGACAAGAAGCAACTAGAAAAGATACACAATAGGAGGATTTAAAGATCGAACTGCAAAGACACTGGCACAAGATAGTCAAAGTGGTCCCAATGGTGATTGGCACACTGGGTGCAGTGCCTCAATACCCTGGCCTGCACTTAAAAATAATCGGGGCTGACAAAATTACTAGGGAAGTGTCCAAGGTGTGATCAAATACAAAAGCCAGCATAGAATAGAATCATAGAATCAAAGAGTTGGAAGAGACCTCATGGGCCATCCAGTCCAACCCCCTGCCAAGAAGCAGGAATATTGCATTCAAATCACCCCTGACAGATGGCCACCCAGTCTCTGTTTCAAAGCTTCCAAAGAAGGAGCCTCCACCAGCAGAGAGTTCCACTGCTGAACGGCTCTCACAGTCAGGAAGTTCTTCCTCGTGTTCAGATGGAATCTCCTCTCTTGTAGTTTGAAGCCATTGTTCCGCGTCCTAGTCTCCAAGGAAGCAGAAAACAAGCTTGCTCCCTCCTCCCTGTGGCTTCCCCTCACATATTTATACACGGTTATCCTATCTCCTCTCAGCCTTCTCTTCTTCAGGCTAAACATGCCCAGCTCCTTAAGCCGTTCCTCATAGGGCTTGTTCTCCAGACCCTTGATCATTTTAGTCGCCCTCCTCTGGACACATTCCAGAGTAATCTTGTTTGCTGTGTACTAATCTTGTCGTGTATCAAATAATAATATATATGAATGAAGGGGAGGGGAAAATAATAATAATAATAACAACAATAATAATAGGTGTTACTTTTTCTCAGGACAGTTGGTGGGGAATCTTTCTCAAACACTGTGCATGCACAGAAGGAAGGAAGGAAGGCAGGAAAGCAATACTAATACAATATTTGTCTATCCTGCTTTTTTGCCCAGGCCAGTTGGGGAGAGTCAGGGGTGCTTTGAATGCAATATTCCTGCTTCTTGGAAGAATGGGGTTGGACTGGATGGCCCATGAGGTCTCTTCCAACTCTTTGATTCTATGATTCTACGAGTCCTTTCTCTCCCTTTCTCTCTCTCCCTATCTCCAGATGCAAGCCCAGAAAGGAGGAAGGCACAATGGCACCCAAGGGTGCAGAGAGAAGAGGGGAATGCAGCAGGGAGAAAAAGGAGGGCACCGTTTTTGAGAAAGGCCAAGCAAGAAGGTCAATGCAAAGGCGGGAGGGCGAGGCTGCAGTCCTGGGCGAGGGACAGGCCCTGAGAGGGGGGGGTTCAGGGGTGTGGGGCGCCCCCTCTTTGCTCTGCTCACCCCAAGATCCTGGTGTAAGGCGCCGGCATGGCTCCTGTTCCTTCGGCGGCTGCTTCTCCTCCTCGGGGGCGTCCGAGTGTCCGGTTTTGAAGGCGGGGGCGGGCGGGGCTTCCCAGGCTCTGGGGGTGGGGCTGGGCCCGGCCCCCTCGGCCCCATAGGCTGCCCGGGGACAGGCCCCCCTTCCGCCCGCCTCTGCCTGATGTAACCGCGTCTTGGTCTTGCCTGCGAGGAGAGGGAGCCTCAGCGGGAGGGTCTCTGCGCGCGTACAGAGTGCACTGCCCTGCCTGTCTAGGCAGGTAGTCAGTCAGTCGCTGAGCAATACAGAGAAAGGCAGGGAAGGACATCCAGTTTTGCACGCTCCCTATATATATATCAGGCATGGGCAAACTTGGGCCCTCCAGGTGTTTTGGACTGCAACTCCCACAATTCCTAACAGCCTACCGGCTGTTAGGAATTGTGGGAGTTGTAGTCCAAAACACCTGGAGGGCCCAAGTTTCCCCATGCCTGATATATAGGCTGTTAGGAATTGTGGGAGTTGTAGTCCAAAACACCTGGAGGGCCCAAGTTTGCCCATGCCTGATATATAGGCTGTTAGAAATTGTGGGAGTTGTAGTCCAAAACACCTGGAGGGCCCAAGTTTGCCCATGCCTGATATATAGGCTGTTAGAAATTGTGGGAGTTGTAGTCCAAAACACCTGGAGGGCCCAAGTTTGCCCATGCCTGATATATAGGCTGTTAGGAATTGTGGGAGTTGTAGTCCAAAACACCTGGAGGGCCCAAGTTTGCCCATGCCTGATATATAGGCTGTTAGGAATTGTGGGAGTTGTAGTCCAAAACACCTGGAGGGCCCAAGTTTCCCCATGCCTGATATATAGGCTGTTAGGAATTGTGGGAGTTGTAGTCCAAAACACCTGGAGGGCCCAAGTTTCCCCATGCCTGATATATAGGCTGTTAGAAATTGTGGGAGTTGTAGTCCAAAACACCTGGAGGGCCCAAGTTTCCCCATGCCTGATATATAGGCTGTTAGGAATTGTGGGAGTTGTAGTCCAAAACACCTGGAGGGCCCAAGTTTGCCCATGCCTGATATATAGGCTGTTAGGAATTGTAGTCTGAAACACCTGGAGGGCCCAAGTTTGCCCATACCTGATGTAAATGCGTTAGGAATTGTGGGAGTTGTAGTCAAAAACACCTGGAGGGCCCAAGTTTGCCCATACCTGATGTAAATGCATTAGGAATTGTGGGAGTTGTAGTCCAAAACACCTGGAGGGCCCAAGTTTGCCCATGCCTGATATATAGGCTGTTAGGAATTGTGGGAGTTGTAGTCCAAAACACCTGGAGGGCCCAAGTTTGCCCATGCCTGATATATAGGCTGTTAGGAATTGTGGGAGTTGTAGTCCAAAACACCTGGAGGGCCCAAGTTTCCCCATGCCTGATATATAGGCTGTTAGGAATTGTGGGAGTTGTAGTCCAAAACACCTGGAGGGCCCAAGTTTGCCCATGCCTGATATATAGGCTGTTAGGAATTGTGGGAGTTGTAGTCCAAAACACCTGGAGGGCCCAAGTTTGCCCATGCCTGATATATATGAATGAAAGGGAGGAGAAAATAAATTATTATTATTATGTTTATGTTTATTTAAGGTGGCGCAGCGGGTTAAACTGCTGAGCTGCTGAACTTGCTGACCGAAAGGTTGCCGGTTTGAATCCGGGAATTGGGGTGAGCTCCCGCTGTCAGCCCCAGCTTCTGCTAACCTAGCAGTTCGAAAACATGCAAATGTGAGTAGATCGATAGGTGCCTGGGTGGGAAGATAATGGCACTCTATGCAGTCATGCCCAGAGGCGGCCCTAGGTAATTTTTAATGGTAAGCAAGCAGTATTTTGGCGCCCCCCCCCCCGCCCCCCAACCAATCACTGATATATATTTTCTGTTCGTCGTGGGAATTCTGTGTGCCATATTTGGTTCCATTCCATCATTGGTGGAGTTCAGAATGCTCTTTGATTGTAGGTGAACTATACATCTCAGTAACTACAACTCGCATATGTCAAGGTCTATTTTCCCCCAAGAGCACCTCAAGAGTGCCCTTGGGCACAATCAACTACACTGCAAATGCTTATTTTGCGTAATGGGTTGAGCCGCCCCTGGTCATGCCGGCCACATGTCCTTGGAGGTGTCTACAGAGAACGCTGGCTCTTCAGCTTAGAAATGGAGATGAGCACCAACCCCTAGAGTTGGACACAACTCATGGCAGGGGAAACCTTTGCCTTTATGTTTATTTATGCTTTTTCTCTCTATACAGAAACTCAAAGTGGGTCACAACTAAAAGCATTGCGATATAACTTCAAATATACAAATACAGTAGAGTCTCGCTTATCCAACATAAACAGGCCAGCAGAATGTTAGATAAGTGAAAATGTTGGATAATAAGGAGGGACTAAGGAAAAACCTATTAAACCCCAAATTACGTTATGATTTTACAAATTAACCTTCAAAACGTCATGTTTTACAACAAATCGACAGGAAAAGCCATGCAATACTCAATCACGTTATGTAGTAATTACTGTATTTACAAATTTAGCACCAAAACTTCACAATGTATTGAAGCAGCTGTAGATCCAGGAGGAGGCAGACTGTGTTGGATAATACAGAACATTGGGTGCGTGAAGGTTGGATAAACGAGACTCTGCTGTATACAAGTATTACAACAGTATTTGTTATTGTTCATTCGTTCAGTCATTTCTGACTCTTTGTGACTTCATGGACCAGTCCACGCCAGAGCTCCCTGTTGGTCGTCACCACCCCCAGCTCCTTCAAGATCAATCCAGTCACTTCAAGGATCCCGTCCATCCATCTTGCCTTTGGTTAGCCCCTCTTCCTTTTTCCTTCCATTTTCCCCAGCATCATTCCCTTCTCTAAGCTTTCCTTTCTTCTCATGATGTGGCCAAAGTACTTCATCTTGGCCTCTACTATCCTTCCCTCCAATGAGCAGCTGGGCTTTATTTCCTGAAGTATGGACTGGTTGGATCTTCTCGCTGTCCAAGGCACTCTAAGACCTTTCCTCCACCACCACAGTTCAAAAGCATCTCTCTTCCTTTGCTCAGTCTTCCCTATGGTCCAGCTCTCACATCCGTAGGTAACTGTGGGGAATACTATTGTTTTAACTATGCGCATCTTTGTTGCCAGTGTGATGTCTCTACTCTTCACTCTTTTATCGAGATTGGACATTGCTCTCCTCCCAAGAAGGAAGCGTCTTCTGATTTCCTGGCTGGAGTCTGCGTCTGCAGTAATCTTTGCACCTAGAAATACAAAGTCTGTCACTGCCTCCACGTTTTCTCCCTCTATTTCCCAGTTGTCAATCATTCTTGTTGCCATAATCTTGGGTTTTTTAAAATGTTTTTTGATGTTTACATCAAAACAACGGTATTTACCATCATTAAAAAGCATGTAAAATAACAGCATCCCCTGACAATCTTTAAAAACCTTCTTTAAAAGCCTGCCTGAATAAAAAAGTTTTTAACCCACCACCAGAAGGACAGCCAGGAGGGGGCCATTCTGGCTTCCCTGGGCAGGGAGTTCCAGGGTTGAGGGGCAGCCACCGAGAAGGAAGGCCTGCTCTCTCGTTCCCACCAACCATGCTTGAAATGGAGGCCCAAGAGAAGGGCCTCTCCTGAAGATCTCAGGGCCCAGGTAGGTTCGTACAAGAGGATGTGGTTGGCCAAATAGCCTGGACCTGAATCGTCTAGGGCTTTAAAGGTCATAACCAGCACTGAATTGTGCCCGGAAACAGAGTGGCAGCCAGTGGAGCTGCTGCAACAGGAGAGTTGTCTGCTCCCTGTAGCCAGCCCCAGTGAGCAACCCGGCTGCAGCTCTTTGGACCAGCTGAAGTTTCTAAGCACTCATCAGAGGCAGCTCCACGTAGTGTGCATTACAGTAATCTAGACAGGATGTAACTAAGGCATGGACCACTGTGGCCAAATCTGGCTTCTCAAGGAATGGATGCAGTTGGCGCACAAGTTTTAATTGCGCAAGGTCCTCCTGGCCACCACAATCTGGACATGTGTCTTCAGGGGGAGTATAACCCTATTCATCACAGGCTGGGTCCCTATTCCCTGGTGTGCCTTCTGACTGACCGGGAGTACCTCTGTCTTGCCTGGATTAGGTTTCAATTACTTTGACCTTACTTCAATTACTTAGAGTTGGGTGTTCTTGATAAAATAGTGAAGAGTAGAGACATCACACTGGCAACGAAGATCCGCATAGTCAAAGCAATGGTATTCCCTGTAGTAACCTACGGATGTGAGAGCTGGACCTTAGGGAAGGCTGAGAGAAGGAAGATAGATGGTTTTAAACTGTGGTGCTGGAGGAAAGGTCTGAGAGTGTCTTGGACTGCGAGAAGATCCAACCAGTCCATACTTCAAGAAATAAAGCCTGACTGCTCATTGGAGGGAAGAATAGTAGAGGCCAAGATGAAGTACTTTGGTCACATCATGAGAAGAAAGGAAAGGTTAGAGAAGACGATGCTGGGGAAAATGGAAGGAAAAAGGAAGAGGGGCCGACCAAGGCCAAGATGGATGGATGGTATCCTTGAAGTGACTGGATTGACCTTGAAGTGAGCTGGGGATGGTGATGGCCGACAGGGAGCTCTGGTGTGGACTAATCCATGAAGTCACGAAGAGTTGGAAACGACTGAAATAATGAACAACAAACTTTGACCTTAGCCATCCCATTACTGATGACAGGCACTGGTTTAGGGTCAGGATAGTTTCCTTGACCTTAGGTGGAAAAGAGTAGTAGAGTTAGATGTCATCTGCATATAGGTGGTACCAAACTCCAAAACTCTGGATGACCCAATGGTTTCTTAGGCAACTTCTCGTTGTCCAAATATGATGGCCTTCCAAGTGTAGTGTCTTGGCATTGGATATGTAGGTGACTCTGGAGCCCTTTTCTTGACCCATATGTTCTTCCACAGTGAGGGCATCAGTTTCCAGGTGGAATGCTTGACACACCTTCTCTCTTGGCACATTTCTCCCTTTCACCCTCTATTTGTGCTTCTTAAATGCTGATCTGCATTTAAACAGGCACTGGTTTAGGATCAGGGTAGCGTCCT